CCCCCAGAATCACGACAACCAACTGCGCCTTTAAGACTGTTGTGTCAGGTGTTGCATATCAGCCCGTATGAATCCATAGGCGACAAGATGGTCGCCTCATTTTTCTAGCTGCAAAAGGTCTGCTATTTGTGTCTGTCAGATCCAATGGCTGTTTCAGTCCGTCTCAACGTGGGCCCAATGTGCTGGAAGGAGACTGTGACATGGTTAGGTATCCCTGTATGTTGTCGCTGTGGGTTGATAGTTGCCCAGAGGCAGTTTGTGAGGCTCTAATGGTGCCTCATTTTCATTGAATATGATGTTTTGGCTCCTGTGCTACCGACACTATCGTTTTTTTTTTTTCTCAACAACAGAAAAAATAACCAAACACTAGTGCTTTGCCTGGAGGTAACAGGTTCGGTTGTTAATAAACCCGAAATTAGTTTTTGTGAGAGAATATTTGTTCATTTTACCTCAAATACATAGTCAAATTATTCAATTTCAGGTGTGTCAGTAATTATTACATCAGTTTAAAAAATAAATAAATAATCTGTTCCGTCATGTCAGTTCAGTCAAGTTAATTTACTGGTTGTAATACAACCATGTCAGCTGATGGTTGGAAGGGCACCGACAGAAGCATAATGTGGCAAAGACCCTTCTTGATTTTTAAAGAAACCCATCCAGGATCCACACTAAAATATTCTTTTGCTTATGTAAGCAGACAGACAAATGGCCCAAAACGGATAAATCCACCTTAAATCTCACCTTAATAAGAGTTTTCTGTGCTGATCTCCATGGCAACATTACAGCTTATGTTTGCATCACCTGTCAGTTGAAAACCTCGTGACGAGGGATGGGTATTGATAAGATTTTCACGATTTCGATTCCATTTTCGATTCTGTTTAACGATTCGATTCTTTATTGATTCTTTTTAAAAAAAGGAGAACACTAAGGTCGATTAGCTTAAAACTTTGTTTTATATCTTCTCTTTGAACAAGATAGAAATTTAGGAGTAAAATGGCCTTACAAACCCAACAGTGAGCTCTTAAGAGATCCAGCCTACGGCTCTTCAATGGGGTGTCACAGGGTCCCCAGGAAAAAAAATGTTAATGTAAAATAATAAAAATAAATATTCTTCTGTAGCAATAACAAAGTATAACATCAATTATTCAGTAGCAATTACACAAGAATATCCAGTAATGTCCCTGCCTACAATTAAACACATTCACTTACCGAAAATCGGGGGCATCTGCTGCGGCAAATGGGTGCAAGCCTTTGACCACAAACTTAGTCACTGCTCGGAGACATTTGTCTATCCTGGCCTGAAAGGAGACGCTACCAGTAGACTGCAGCGAGAATCTGAGCCAGCCAGACTCTGTCTGTCTCATCATGGTCACCTAAATGCACAGTAATGGCAGGGTTTGTAAAAAGGCAGATCGCACTAACATAATATGCACTGTTAGTTGATTATTTACCTGCCGCATTAACGGGAGAGGACGTGCAAACGTTACCGCTGCTGCTGGGTTGAGATTCACGAGTCCGGAGCGGAATTAAAAACACGACATTCATTTAAGGTCATTGCGTGTTTTGTGAGCTTTTGCATATTCGTAGTGTTTCCTCCCTTAAATGAAATATCCACTTTGCAAGTATTGCAAGTTGCTCTGTTGTCATCCATTCTCGTAAAGTATAACCAAACTTTTGAGCGTTTGAGCCGCCGTGTTTCCTGCCAGGTAAATGACGCTCCGCAACGTGGTGACGTCATTCGGGGCGACTGGAATCGAGAAGGGAATCGTTTGCAAAAATGGCAAACAATTCCAAGGAATTGAAACAGTGGGAACCGGTTCTCAACAAGAACCGGTTTTCGATGCACATCCCTACTCGTGGCATAATTTCGAGTCATTGTACAAAAAATATCTCACCTAACGCTCGTAGATTTTTCCAGAGCTTTAAACGTCGCTTTTTAGTCCCTCTGAAGAAGAACCAGAGAGGAAAAGCTTAAAAAAAGCTGACTTTGACATAAGACTGGTGATATTTTACACTCAGCTTCAAAATTGCTTCCCTTTCTATGTTATCAAACCTACACTATGAATTGCAGCATTTGCTACAACTGATGAAGTCAGTTTATAGGCAAATATATTCAGAAAATAACCACATGTGGCATCATCCCTAAAAACAGATTGTGCATATGAATATCTTGACTCTATAGACAAGAAAGCTTTGACTGAAGAGGAGAGGAGGCTTTGTGTACTTGCAGGTAAACGGTTCTTGAACAAAATAGGGATCGCACGTGCCAAAAATGAAATCTCTATCGAAACTGTCAGCTATCATCCTAGGACAATGTAACAGGAAGTCACAGCCAGGATATCCAAAGGCAAGGACTGGAAACTGATCGGTTTCCAGATTGCTGATGGTGTGATTAACTAGATACGGAGTGAAAATGAGGTGATAAAAACAACCTAGAGTTAATTATTTATGAATATGTCAAAAGCAGTTTCACATTTACCCTTGCTGTATTTTTCTTTCTACTTCAGGCAACCCAAGAAGAACCCTAGCACCATCTCCCAAGACTCTTGGGAAAAGGCATACCCACCTGGTGAAGGGTTCCAGACTGCTAAGGACAACCCCAGGTACTCCAGCTACCAGGGCTCCAGGAACGGCTATCCAGGTGGAGGCGGTGTCAATGCCAGAGTCCTTCTGGAGGCCCAGGAGCTCTTGAGGCAGGAGCAGAGACGCAGAGAGCAAGAAGCCAAAGGGAAATTAATGCAGGAAAGTGCTGGCAACAGCAGCTATGAGGGGTACACGGCACATCTGAAAGACCCCGCCTCTCCTAAAGGGCCGTACCGACACGACGTGCCACCTTCGCCTTCACAGTTAGCGAGGCTTAATAGATTGGGTTCTGAGAAAGGAAGACTTTTTTATTCTTGAAGAGCATCATTGGACTGGTTGATGAAGAGCCAAACGAACCGATTAGAGCCAAGGGGATTGTTTTGAAGAAAGAAAAATAGACACTATGAATCTTGACAGGGGACAACCTAGAGGTCTTATAGTTTAGCAGTGAGCTTATAGGTAAACAGTTGTGAAGTGTACTCGGTATGTGGGTGTTTGTGTTCAGTCCTCCGCTGTGAGGATGACCTATACTAGTCAGTCATTCACCCTCCTACAAACAGTGCCTTCTCTGCATTCACGGACACGAAGCTTGTTCGCAGTCGTCCAGGACTCTGATTCATCGAGATCTGGCATCGTCGTGTACTGACAATCAAATGGGCAGACAGGCAAGTGAGTGGGCGCTTTTTTGAGCCCACGGGGAGGCGCAAGTTTCTGTGTGGGTTTTGTATGTGGGCATGTGACAAGGTACATGTTTCACTATCAAGAATGTGTCCCGCGGATGACTCTGCCCACCTGTCACGTTCAGCCCCGACAGATGCTGCCGGTGTTTATCAGCATTCTGTTTTCTCTACTTTTAGTCTTCTCTCCACAGCAACACAACTCGCACAGTACTCCACAGGGAGCACAGAAAACAAGGCAAAGTGTGTGAAAGAAAGCGGGGTGCATTGTGTGTGTTATTAATAAAAAAGACCCCCTCATAAATGATTCATATTTTGTGTTATCTCCATGGAGGAGGCTCAGGCAGAGAGGGTAGACAGCTCTGATCCTCTGCCTGGCCGCTCTGCTTGGCTCTGGGCTTGACTTGCCGGCCCGCCCGCCTGTCTGTCTGGAGCCCTCATCCTCTCTGCGTTGTTCTCGTCTTCTCTCTGTTCATTACGCTCCTATTTTCTTTTTCTACCTCAACGCCCCTACCTTTATCCTCTGCTCCCCTGCTCTCCCTTCTTTGCACATCTCACGCCTTCGCTTCCCCTTACTCTTCCTCCTGCTACACGGTGCCACCCTCCTCCTCCTCGTCTCCCGAGTCAGGCTCTGCACTGAATTTTTCATCACAAGCCACCTGCTGCCTGCCAGAGCCAAAGAACGCTGCCACCGGAGGCATCGACAGAGGGCCCGGCTTCTGACATAAAGAGTGGAATAAAAGCCAAAAAAAAAAAAAGACACAGAATAAAGATGGGAAGAGAGACAACGAGCCTCCGAGTGTGAGATTAGCTGGAGCTTTTTCCCAGTTTTAACAAAAGGCAAAACTGTCCTTGGGAGTTAATTGCTTTCAATTGCTATAATTGCTTTTTGTATTTTTTTTTTGCAGTTGTTAGCATTTAGTCGGCCCCATTCTCCATAATAATTTAAAAAGAGGGAACAGGTAAACAGGCTATCATACTTTAAAAAAGCATCAGTCAATAGATAATCTGAATGCCAAAAGCTTTTACAGGACAGAACAAAATAACAACAGCTTATTTACTGGCTCACATTTTGCAGTGTCTAGATCTGAGTTTGCTCGATGAAATAGGACTTTTCTCTTGACAATAGCGGAACGAAAGAAGCCGTTCTTTCCAAACAAACGTTTCGAACATTTTTAACTCCCTTTTAACCCTCCTGAAATGTTTCCCTTAATATGGCAGTTAGGCTTAGTGGGTTATGCTAACTTTGTGTTTACCACCTCTTTCTCTGTGCAGCTGGTACAAATATGGAATCTTTCCACAGGCTCACAAGTAAACAAACAGGCTTTCATTAATCATTACGCAAGGTGAGAGGGTCATCTGGCCGTTCGCCCTGCATGGAGTTCCCATGGAAGTGGCTTTTCCGGGCAGCAGGGGTTTTGTGTGACACAGGTGAAGATTCCACAGCAATCTTCACCAGCTAGTCACAATAGCGCTTCAGTTTATTTCGCTTGCTGTCGAACTGTCTATTGTTAGCTAACTATTTACATTTGATTTATTCAAATGTCTTCCTCTCCTTTTCTACCAATGGCTCCGCTTAAAATTGAAGGAAGATTGTTATGAAAATGAAAAGGTTGCACACAGATTTACGTCGGACCTCCTGGCAAACCCACTGATTCTGTTCTAACTGAACTGGTTTCATAGGTTTTTGCTGTGACAGCCTTGAGAAGGACTTTTTTCTCTATTTTTTGTTGTTGTTGTTGTTCTCCATTTTGTGAGGAAACAGAACTTTAAAAAAAAAACAAACCGGAAGAAATTAAACAAGAAATATCTGCAAGACTAGATAAAATTTCCATTCTGGCCCAACTCTGCAGCTGCTGATTGAAAACTTTTCGTGAGGCACTAATCACTGAAGCCAGCTGTTGTAGGTGTACTGGGGAAAAAACGCTTGGGCATCGATGACACATACTTTAAAATAAATAAATAAATACTGCCACCAGCCCACTATTATAATTGCTGCCGTAGGTGGCAACCTCTTACTCGGTGCTCGTCTTTCTTTGACAGCGATAATGTTTGTGACGTGATTGTGTCTGCCTCCGAGCTAACAAATGAAACGGGGCAGGGGTCAAATTTTAAACAAAAGGGAAATACAGAAAAAGCTACAGAGAACAAACGGGCAGTGCATAATCACCCTTCACTCCCACACCGTCTCCATATGCAGAGGGAAGCTGCATGATAAACATGATCTCCTGCTGGTTAATGAAGACCCTCGCTGGGATAGATGCAGGCCTGGTAAGGGTAATGAATGAGATGAAGTAAAATTGAACCTGTAGTGGCATCGTTCCAGGTTTAAACTTAGCAATATTGTTCAGCGCACATACTTATGTGTGCATGGGTGCAATGATAGAAACAGACTTTTGGGGAGGGGGGCCGTCTTCCCAGTTTGAAGGTTTTTAAACCCACCTGAGAATGAAGCCGATGAAAAACGTACCAAAAAAATGACACAAGCTGTGCAGATGAGAGTAGAAGCATTCTCCATTGCGCACATTATTTTAGCGAAGTGTTTGGTTCCTGCTGTGAACACAAATTGCAGACCAGCATATTTAGAAGGATACAGTGGATTTAGCTGCTCAGCTGTTCCTGTTATATCAATAAGTGCCTGAGATAATATCACAAAATGTTACACAAAGAAGGTTATGATGTGATTTTTTTTTCTGTCAGTGACACTGCAGCACACAAATTGCAGTGGATTTTGTGTTGTTGTTTTTTAATCCATATTAAGGGTACACTTTCCTGAACGTTTCTCTTTTAATATTTGTAAGAGCCAACACTTGCGGACAGTGATCATTGTATTTGTACTCTGTTTGATATGCCTTCAAACATACTGCAGCAGGATGTGTTTTAAAGTATCTCAAAACAAATGGAAGTTATTAGATGCTGATGTGCAATTGTTGTGTTTGTTGTTGTTGGGGTTTTTTTCAGAAAACTTTTACATGATCTATTAAGAAATGTATGCAGCCACTTCTTCCTGTACATATCAAATTTAGAATAAATCAGAAGGCTGTTCCATCCTGTTTCCAACCTCGCCTTGCCTCTGTCTCGCTCCCCCTCCCCAGCTTTTCTTCCCAGCCCCGACTCTGAACCCTGATCAGACGTGTCGCCAATTAACCACGAGGGACTCTGCAGTCAGATGTCAAACCTGTCAGGGCTGCTTGCTGATGTCTTTTTCAGAAAGACAAACTGAGAGAGTTTGATGGATAAAGAGGAGATAACATGATGAAATCATTAATTCCCGTGGGGGGAAATGGTGTAGCAGTTGATGTACAAACATAACTGAAACAAACATTTGGCTAGTGGGTAACGGCGCTGTCTCCCCCCGTGTAACCGACCTGGTGAATACAATGAGATAATCTCCCAAAACACCACCGTGTTTCCTGTTATTAAGTCCAACCTTATTCCCACTGTGACTCACAGGGGACCTGTTGAGCAGCTCCCTGCTACTGTTTTTGTTCTTCAGGCCAAAGGTGACATCCTAACTAAATACAATTAATGCTGCTTAAGACAACAGCCTGCATGTGTTAAGAGAAACTAAGATATAGGTACACAGGAAAAAGAGCTGGAAGCAGTTTGATCCCTCTACCTCATCCTGCGCTTTTAACATTCACAGCAGTCGTTCTTTTTACTGGGTTAATAGCATGACATTAAGAAGGAATTATACATGTCATGTGTAACAATGCCACGATCACAGTGAGACAACAGAAGGGATTTTGTGTGCTTATTTCTGCTTTGAAATTTTGAGTCGATGATAACCTTCAGACCACATCCTTTAAGGTTCACTGAGGAAGCTCGCATGAATACCCGGCCATTCACGCTTGCATTTATGAGGGCATTTGGCACTGACAAGTGTGGATTTACAAGAACACAGGATGCCGTTTCAGCTGTCTCATTCCACATTGGTATTCAAATACAGCTGAAATATGGAACATGCACAGCCCTCCCAGGGTTTACTGCAGTGCACTGAGACCCAGTCAGAACTAACAGGTGCTTTCAGGCTTCAGCTCATACCTTGTGGATACTTAGGCTCATATACTGTTGTTGGATATTGTGGTTTCCTTTATCCAGGGATGGAATTTGGTTCAAAACCATAAATGTTTAAAAAAGGCATTGTGTACATCCCATTGGGAATAGGGAAGAAGGTCATATCATTGGGAAACATATGTAATTTAATGCAAATGTTGGAAAATTCCAGTGTTGCAGTAGACTAGCTCGATAAAGTAGAATATGACACAAAAAAACATCTCCATAAAGTAAAATTTCTCTAAAAGAAAATGGTTCAATAGAATAAAATGAAAAAATAAAGTTGCTTAAGTAAAAAACTGACATAAACATAAGAAGATGAACAATAAAAATGTCTCTAGAAAGTAAAAAAGCTCAGAAAAATTAATACGGTACTAACAAAACCAGGGATTTATTCTAAACTGTTTAAGTTCACTTTCACATTCATATTTTAGCCACTTGTGCTTATCCGGGTGATCGGGGGGCCGTCCCAGCTACCATAGGGCAGGAGTCAAACCGGGCTGCATGCTGCCCAATAGTGGTTTTTGTAACATAAAGATTTATTTCCTTTTTCCTACAGCATGCTATCAGTGACCAAATGTAGTTTTTCTTGGGCATAATAATAATAATAATCGATGAAACAATCAGTCCTTAATATGTTTTGGCCAAATGTCGAGAATGTCCATGGACGAGTTCCAGTAATTAAGGAGTTATTTCTGTTGGCTGTGCAAAACATAACTACACTTTCTGTTTGCCATTAATAATTCCAGTACTTGCGGCTCTACCACCTTGCTGAAAGGCTCTCCAAAAATCCTTTTTGGGAAGAAAAGCTCTGATCTCTTCCCAACAA